AGGTCCTTCCCCTGCTAAAGCTGCTGGTGATGGCCCTGGGGAAGGGACCCAGGGACACCCAGGATGGAGCCACTCTGGGGACACAGCATTGGCTTGTTTCTTCCCGAGGGGCTGAGCACCCCCAGCAGCCCTGGCAGAAGGACAGGGCCAGCCTGGGCTCTCGGGAAGCACGGCCCATCCCTCCCCTCTTCCCTCTTCTCCTCTTTCCTTTTCCCCCTGTGTCCCTGTTCCCCTGTGCTCCCCTGGGCAGTGATCCCCACACGGCCATCCTGTGGAGGAACTGCTGGGCCTGCTCCCTCTCTGGTCCAGGGAGATGAACATCTGGAGTGTTCTCAGCCACAGCAATGGGGCACAATCTCTTATCTGCCCCTGGTCCTCACTGCACCATGACCATTGCTTGAAATGACCTAATTTCCCTCTCTTGACTCATTAAAGTTCTACTGCATTTGAGCCCTTGTCTCTGTGTCATTTCCCCTGTGGATGCTCTCTCAGGATGACCAGGGAGGGAGATGTTGCTCAATCTTTGTTCTGGGAGGAGGTGTTTAGGATGATTCTAAAGCAGTTGGGACCACAGGYTTTTCATCAAGTGTGCTCAGTCAGACATTGGATGACTCTCCTTTCTAAACCTTGCAGAACTGGCAGGACGATGATTTTCTAGCTGCCAAAGGGATTTTACTGCTAATGGCATCCATGGCCAACTTTAATCACTGTGGAGGGAAAGTTTATATGGAGTGCTTCCATGTTTTTCTAGTGCATCCTTTTCATGCCACGAAATTCCCACTCCTTTGTGGTTAGAGAGTCCATTACCCACAAAAGCTGAATGCCAGAATCCCAGAATCCCTTTTGGTATGGGCAAATGCTCTGCCTGGGAACAATCCCTCCTTTTTTTTCGTTGTGGGGAAAAAAAAAAAAACCCTCTGGAAAGACCAAAAAAGTTTTTGTCACTGAACTGTTGGACTTGGTGGAGCCTTTAACAGTTTATTTCAGCCCTTGGAGCAGCGCGGTGAGACCAGGTCAACRTAGGCTTGTGTAGTCTATGGGAAGYGTGGCCCTGYCCTGGGACATGGAGAGATAAAATTTCCACTGCAGATTCCTTTCACCACTTTATCCATCCTCTGAAGAGTGACTGCTTTCAAAAAGAGGTTAATTGACTGCACATGTCTGGCTGTGGAGGTGAAATAGCAACTCTGCTCAGAGCTCAGCCTTTGYAGAAYCACAGAATACTCTGAGCTGGAAAGCACCTACAAGGATCATSGAGTCCAACTCTTRGCCCTACAYAGAACAMSCCAGCAATCCTACCCTGTGCCTGAGAGTGTTGTCCAAAAGTTCCTTAAGCTCCTGCAACCTTGGGGCTGTGACCATTCCCTGRGTAGMCWGCTCARMGTCCAACCACTCTCTGGGRRATGACCCTTTTCCTGAYATCCAACCTAACCTTCCCTGACACAGTTCCAGCCRTCCCCTCATGTCCTGTCACTAGGCTCCAGGAAGAAGAGCTGTCTTGGTTTGAAAGACAAGGAAGGCAGGAACCTCTGTTGGAATGGAAAGTATTACCTCCTTCCCTCCAAATTATAATTTCGAAATTAAGGGGTTTTCAGGCAAAGATATGGGAAAAGGAATAACAGTTCTTGACTAGAGTGTGTAACAAGGCAAACAAACAGCAAACAGAAGCACAAACCCAGCGCCAGCCTCCCCCGGGCTGYGCCGCGCCCTCCCCTCGGTGCAGTTCCGCTCACAGCCGGCGGGGGGCGCTGGGGGCGGTRATTCCTCCCCGCCGGCAGGGGGCGCTGTGGCGCGGGCTCGGCCGCCTCTCTCCCTCACGCGGTGATGGCGGGCGCGCTGGAGGGCGGAGTGGGCTGGAGCGGGAACCTCGGAGCAGCGGCTGGAACGGCAAAGGTAGGCACATCCCAGGGTGGCAAAGAAAAGGTATCAGAAAACTCTGCAGCTTTAGCAGGGCTGTGGGGGATCGGGCGGACCCGGGGTGTTGGGTTAAAGTGTAGCGAAAAAGACAGAGGCAGAAAACAGTGGGGCTGGGCCGAGGCAGCCAGGCTTCTCTGTAGGARCTGCTGCACACAGCCGGGGGGACACAACCTCCGGGAAGAGTGGAGGGGGTCAGGGTCCTGGATTTCCCCTGAGGCATCTGAGTAGATGGTGAGCGTCCTCTCCGGTCAAATCAAGTGTTTTTAAGGTCCCAGTTCAACGCCTGTTCTTGTGAACAAAGGCTCACCCACAGAAAGGAAGAAGTAATACAGGGCTGGGCTCTGGCGGTAGCACGAATTCTCCCTACAATGAACAGCAGTTCGACCATCCTGTTCCAATGCTGAGAGTGAGAGCTCTAGGACCTTAGCTAGGATCTAAGCCCAGCCCCTCACCCCCAGCCAGAATCTCGAGGTTATCTCTGCCCTTCCCAACAGGAAACCCCTCAGGTAAGAGAGTAACCAGGTGCACCCCTTCCCTCTCCTCCTCCCACCAGCCATATCTTTTGTTCTATGAAGTATCAGCCACTCTCATCTCTTAGCACCCAATGGGAGAAAATTCCCTAAGAGAAAGAAAGAAAAAATCCTAACCTCCAGCAGCAGGTCAGGCCTTGCCCCTCCACTCCCTGTCATGAGGAAGGTGTAGACTTGGATGAGGTCTCCTCTTGGTCTCCTCTTGGTCTCCTCCAGGCTGAGCAGAACAAGTGATCTAAACCTCTCATGCCAGCTTCCCCTCCAGACCCTTCACCATCTTTGGGCCCCTTGCACAGGAACATCTCTCTTTTTCAGTCTTTTGCCCAGACAAGGAGGGTGTCTGCACCAGCATGGACAGCACAGAGGCACTGAYTAGTACTAGAGATTGGAAATTTCTCCAGCTGCTGCAGACTGTATTTCCCCACAGCGTTGAATSATGTTCTGAGTTAGCTGGTCTGCTTGGGATCATCTACTGGGGGATACGGGAGCAGATGTGGGGTTTGGCCTTTCTTCTGCTTGTACCAGAACACAGCACCAAAGTTGATATCTGATAAGAGCAGAAGTGCCTCTTTCCTCCACCATGGTGAGTCTTTTGTGCTTGCTGACACTGGGATTTCCCATCTGTAATGGTTGTAAAAGCTCAGGAAAAGTTAAGACTCTTTGACACCCCCTGTCCCAGAACAGTGGAKAGAAAAACAAAGAGAAGGAAGATTGTGAGAGGGTAAAAATGTTAGATTCATGATTTTACTGAGGTAAAAAATGTGCRGACAACACAACAATACAGAGAAAAATGGTTTATCTACAAAAGAGCAAAGGTAAAACGCCTCCTGGCCCCCACCCCTAGGGTGTCTCATCAGAACAAAGAAAGTACTGTGGCAAACAAATATCCACAGTGTAATGCCCTCMCTGGACAGATAAAACAAAAGGAAACAGGGGCAAAACTAACAGAAATCAGGGGTCAGTGTAGAGCCAGTATAAAAGGCATCCCAGCTCTTCACTCTCTCATCCACTTCACTGCTCTTCTTCCCCTTTGGAATCAATCCCCTCCCCAATCAATCTATTCCAGCTGAGCCGAAAATAGCAGAACCAAGCCCACCTAAAGGAGCCCACCTAGAGGAGCCAAGCTGCGACCAGCAAGTGAAAGAAGCATAGCAGAGCCTGTGCTTACCCTCCCCAGACTCTGGGAAGGCCCATGACTCTGATCTGCGCTTGCCACATCCTCCTCAAGCAACATCTTTCTCTCTGGCAACTGGGGACAGCAATAGGAGATCGAAGGACCACACAGAGGCACAGACTGGGATGCAGCAAAACTTTAATGAGTTGAAAGAGAGAAAGGAGGTCCCCTGAGTGGGCACCATGGTGCAGGGAGCACCAGGGGCAGGTAGGAGACTCTGTCCAATGGCCAGGGTGCAGTTCACATCTT